AATAATTGCATCGTATCCTTTTATGTTTAGATATGATTTAGAGGTTAGATGTGTTTCACATATCAAAAAAACATCTATAGTATAAAGTTCTAAAAACATTGATATTTCATTAACATGACTGGTAATACCATTAGCATTCCATTCCGCAATTATTAAATCTAATTGCATATTTTAGACATTAACATAGACATCATATTAATGAGTGTATTTGTCAGTTCTATTTGTTTTTGAAGCATATTTTCTATTTTTTGTAACAGAGAATTTTCATTGTCTACTGTTCCACGCACAGTTTGAGAGAACGTTACATTATTTGACATATTGTTTTGATTTGCTTCGTTGATGTTATTGATAAAAGTAGGTGGTTGCTTATTTGTTCTGAAAACTGTTGATTTCCGTTTGTTAACTAGGTTTTGGTAAAATTGACAACCTTTGTAACTGGCAGTGTGATTTTGTAGACAATGAATACATTTTGGCGGAGCTGTGGGTGATTTAGTGCATTCCAACGTTGAGTGACCAAGAGCACATTTAGCACAATTAAAAGGCTTGCGACAATAAGATTTGGTATGTCCAAAATCCTGACATCTAGTGCATCGGACGATGTCATTAGTCTTTTTTGCGGGTTCAATTTTAATTATGGCGTTTTCAAAAGTACGGATGTTATAGATTTCCTTGTTGTTTGGACTTGGATCAAGATCGACAAAAAACATCGGCAATGGTTTTTTAGTTGCGCTACTAATAATATTTGTAACGTTACGTACTTGATGTCCGTGACTCAATAATAATGCCTTTATGTCGGTAATGTTAGTGGTATGGTGAAGGTTTTTTACTACCACCCGAAAAGCCCGCTCACGTTTTAATTGATACGTATGAAAACTTTTACCAGTCGATTCTAGATGTTTTATCACCTTTCTGTAGTTATCGACAGTTTTAATAACTACTCTAACCTGACCATCTCTTAAAGATTTGTAGTGGAACTCAGAAGTAGATATTAATTTAGTTATTTCAGACACCATTTTATTTATATCTCCAACATGTGGAATGAATATAGGCGGAGGCTTGGGTTGAACCTCAATTTTATTGCCTTCATCTGTTTCAATATCATCGTTTGCTAAGGCGCCGAATTTGTTGGACGTCTCTGGTTCAATATTATGATGCGGTCGCTTTTTCTTAAAAATTTTTGGCGATCCACTATTTCTTCTTTTACTAGGTACCTGCTGCCAGTTCAAATCATCATCGCTGCTGTTATCAGCACTCAAATCAAGTTCATTGTTCATTGCATCGGTCGTCATCATGCGTAGTTGTTGTTAGAAATTGTAAAGTGCAATATGCAAGTGCATCAATTGCGATCACAACTGATGCACTGCAACCGTCGATCCAAAACTTTTGTTGTTGTTTTGAGTCGTTTCAATGACCATAAAATTAAAGGTGAAGTAATTGTTTGTGTATTTTTTTGGAAGAAAAAAAAGAGGAAAATAATAAAACTTTCGGTTGGTAAAACTCCGCACAATACGTGTTGATATGTTCACTTTTCAACAAAGACTCAAAATATTCTACAAAATTATTTGTGATAAAATTCTACCATAGGTACTAAAAGAAGTCAAAAGACTGTATCCTACATGAAGGCCGGGAATTCATAAATATTAAAAACATATTTTAAATTTAAAGTCGTACTTCATATGTGTTTACGTAAAAATCTCCTACAAATCATCATTTTCGAAAGACCACTTCAAAGAAAAAATGTTCATCAACTTTCACTATAAGGCCCTACAGAAAATTTACCTCTATTTCCTTTATATATCAAGAAAATTGTTGCTTCAATGTTCACAAAAAAAAACCGAAAATATTTCCTAATTTTTTCTCGTCCTTTTTTCGAGTTGACGCCTGAAGTAGCCAAAAATCTCCCATAAAGCATCATTTTTTAGAATAATGACGTCAAAGACAAAAATATTCTCCATCAAATTTCACTATAGGATGAGAAATCAATAGTTCCATTATATATCAAAAAATATTTGTTTCAATGTTGCCAAAAAGTGCGAAAATAATTGCAATTTTTTCATTGATTTTTTGGGTAATTTTTCTAATTCAAACATGAAAGCATAAAACATCCATGTAGACAGCATGTGTCAAAAGAAGATATACTCTACTGAAAATTTTCCTACGAGTCCTAGAATACACTATGTATCTAGTTATATCAGTTCTTAAGAAAGTCATGTTCGAGATTTTTTGATAGCAAGTGAAAATTATATAACGTGCACGTTTTTGTTTGTTAATTTAATACGTTTCTAATCTGAGTCAGAATCTCCCTAAATACTTCATATTTTAGATAAAGTGTCGAAGCAAAAAACATTCCTTATAAAATTTCACTATGATTCACTAAGGAAAATAAATCTCTATTCCAGTTATATATCAAGAAAATATCGATTTCAATTTTGAAAAAAATCGAGAATATTTTTTTATATTTCATGGATTTTTCTTTGTCCGTTTTTCAGTCGATCCATGAAAGTAGCATAAAACTTCATTTTAGACAAAAAGTGTCAAAAGCGGAAATATTTTATACCAAATTTTACTATAAGTTTTAGAATAAACCATATATGTAAGTACAAGAGTTTGTAAGAAAATTATATTTGAAATGTCTGCATTACAAGGGGCAATTATATGTGAGGGTTTTTGGGCTGTTAATTTTACACCTTTTCAATCTTAGTCAAAATCTCCTATAATACTTAATTTTTTTGAGAATGTTTCAAAGGAACAAATATTCCTCATCAAATTTCATTATAAGCCACCAAAGAAAAGAAATCTATATTTTCATTATATATCAGGAAAATATATGTTGCAATCTCGCCAAAAGAGCGAAAATATTTTTTCATGGATTTTTTCGGTATTTTTAAGTTCAAGCCTGAAATTAACATGAAACCACATTTTAGACAAAAAGCCAATAGAAGAAATATTCTACATTCAATTTCACTACAAGTCCCCAAATAAATGATATATCTAGGTATAATAGTTATTAAGAAAATTACATACGAAATGTATATATTACAAGTGGAAATTATATGTAAAAGTTTTCTTCGGTTAATGTTATACTTTTCTAGGCTGAGTCAAAATCCCCTTTAAAACTTCTTTTTTGTGTAAAGTGTCAAAGGAAAAAATGTTCCTTATCCAATTTCACTATGACTTACCAAAGAAAAGCAATCTCCGTTTTAATTATATATCAAGAAAATGTTTATTTCAATGTTACCAAAAAATTCAAAAATATTTCCTATTTTTTGCATGAATTTCCCTTTGGCCGTTTTTCGAGTTGGCCCATGAAAGTAACATAAAACTTCCGTTTAGACAGAAAGTGTTAAAGCAGGAAATATTCTACACTAAATTTCACTACAAGTCTCAGAATAAACTATATGCATAAGTTCAATAGTTTCCAAAAAAATTACATATGAAATGTATATATTTAAAGTGATATTACACATTTAAGTTTTTTACTGCTAATTTAACACATTGTCATTCCAGGTCAAAATCTCCCATAATACTTAATTTTTTGGGTAAAGTACCAAAGGAAAACATGTTCCTCGTCAAATTTCACTGTCAGTTACCAAAAAAATTAAATCTCTATTTCGTATTATATAACAAGAAAATATTTGTTTCAATTTTGCCATAAAAAATGCGAAAACATTAGCTATTTTTTGCATGAATTTTTCTTTGGCCGTTTTTCGAGTTGGCCCATGAAAGTAACATAAAACTTCCGTTTAGGCAGAAAGTGTTAAAACATGAAATATTCTACATCAAATTTCACTGTTAGTCTCAGAATAAACTATATGCCTAGGTATAATAGTTTACAAGAAAACTACATTTGAAATTTATATATTTAAAGTGAAATATACATGTTGAAGTTGTTTACTACTAATTTAACATGCTGTCATTCTAAGTCAAAATCCCCCTTAATATTTAATTTTTTTTTTTAGAAAATGTCAAAGGAAAAATATTCCTCATCAAATTTCACAGGAAAATAAATCTGTATTTCCATTATATAGCAAGAAAATATTTACTTCAATGTTGCCCTAAAAAACGCGAAAATATTTCTTATTCTGTCATGGATGTTTCTTTGGCCGTTTTTCGAAGTAAGTAGCATAAATCTTCGGTTTAGGCAAAAAATGTAAAGAGAGAAAATATTCTACACCAAATTTCACTATAAGTCTCAGAATAAAACATATATCTAGTTCCAATAGCTTCCAAGAAATTCACATTCGAAATTTATATATTAAACGAAGGATATTATATGTACGCATTTTTGATAGATAACTTAATATGTTTCCAATCTGAATCAATGTCTATCTTAAAACTGCACTTTTAGGAGAAAGAATTAAAGAAATAACTATTCTAAATCGAATTTAACTATGAGTCTCCGAACGAAAGAAATGTGTAAACTTTACATGTACCATAATAAAATATCAGCAATTTTGATATATAAAAAGTCGGGTTATTACTGTTGACAAATTTGACAATTTTTTTCGAATTCGCTTTAAATTTCCAAAAAAATACGTTATTAAACTGGCATTTTGGGGTGTGAGAAAGCCCGAGTGGATTTAGCAGCAATCCGTTTTAAAATCAAAATCCAAAAAAAGTTTTGGGTTCTCAGGCCTGACTAGTATAAGGGGCCTTTTTATAAAGCCTTCGCCACACACAAAGTAACTCCAATTTTTTGGCGCTATATTTTGTAAAACCCAATGTAGAGCTTTGAAATTTGATGGAGAGCTACGAATTACTTTTAGAATTATTGATTTAAAATATGGGACAAATCGGGATACTTCTTGGTACAGGGTATAAGGGTAAACTTCGCTTTCAAATATTTTTTGCCTTCTAGTCCCATTGTAATTTATGATTTTCGAATTTTCTTCAAAACTACATTTTTGCTGTTAAATTTCATTTTTATATTCCCATGAAATTCTGTTCTCTCTCCCCTTTCTTTTTATGTAAAAAAAACAACTGCCAAAATTCCCACTCACCTGTTTCAATGTAAGGCGGGCTGTATATCTCAGATCGCTACCCTCACGCTTGAACATGGCATGCGGTTTGTCGCGTATTATGAACACAATATCCGATGGTATTTTGCCCGGTGTCTGATCGCCCTCCTTTTGGAACGTCACCTTTGTACCCGATTTCCAGCCGGGCTTTATCGATATGCTCACATACTTGTCCTCCTTCTTCGACGAACCGTCCGGCTGTTGGACACGCCTTGAGATTTTCATTTTCTTTACACAGCCGTGATAGATTTCTTCCAATGAGACATAGAGATCATGTTCGACGGGGGGATCTTGTTGTTTCTCCTTTTTGAAAGGTGTGTGCACGTTGAACGAATGTGATCTGAAAGAGGGTCTTCACTGGATTATTTAAAGCAAACCACACAAGGCGTTGCAGGCTTGGAGATAATACGGATGTAACAACCACGAAAATATCGACTTACCTAAAGGCACCCCCAAGACCATGACGTGAACCCAAACCCCCAAAGGGTGATGAGAAGAAATCATGTTCTGTATCCAAATCGAAAACGTTCTTGTCGAAGAGATTATCACCCATGTCGAAGAACGAGGCAAACGGATTGCTGGAACCGAAGAACTGTGCGAAGGTAGCCCGTGGATCACCATGGAACTGATATGTAAATGTATTATTCGAACTTGTGCCATTGCTTCTGCCTGAGAAGGGGGTAGAACGAAATACGTTAGGTAATTAATTTGTATTTAATCTGAAATAAATTTATCTAAATGGATAAATAAGACTGTGCAACATAAAACAATTATTTCGGGCAAAATTCAGCAGATTATGAAAGTAAAGCTAAAAATGGTAGACACGTGTATTGGAGTTTAACATCGCAAAGTAACCTTAATAGAGGGGACAAGTTCGCCCCTCGGCAACAATGATTGAAATTTTCTGTTTAAAATTCCTTGAAATCTCTTAATTTTAGGTATCTAGTGTCTTCGGTAATATTACAGTCCGCAATACGAGGATTATTTTGGTGAGAAATTTTAGCCGTTAAGCTAGTCAAAAAGGGTCGTTTTGGTTCTTTTGTCACAATTTTGTTAAAAACTCCCTCTCAACATAGCCGTATCTTGTCAAAATATTCTCCAAAATTAATTGCCATAAAATTCTTCCAGAAGCCCTAGAAGACGTCAAAAGTCTAAGTCTTGCCTAAATGCCAGGAATTCATATATACCCAAAACACATTTTAGGGTTAAACCTTCACTTTATGTGAGTTTATACAAAAATCTCCAACAAATCATCATTTCAGAAGGATGACATCAAATACAGAAACATTCTCCATCAAATTTCAATATAAGTCACCAAAGAAACGATATCTCTATTGTCATTTTATATCTAACAAATATTTGCAACAATGTTGTCACAAAAACTTGAAAATATTTCTTAACCCTTTCAGTGTTTTTGTCAAATATATTTGACATTTAAAAGTACTCTCTTTCTTTGACATTTTTTGTTTTTCTTACGAACCGTTATTTTTGATATTTTTTAATAACAGACACGTTCGCTATTTAGAAATATTGCAGTTCTATTCTATTAGTTTCGTTTTCGAATTTCTGAGCACATTTTAGTAAATTAGTACGGAATTTCAGATTTTTATCTCGACAAAAATTTTCATTGACACTGAAAGGGTTAATTTTTTTTATCAATTCTTCCTCGTTTTTTTCGAGTCGATGTACGAAAGTAACCTAAAACTTTAGTTAAGGCAGCATGTGTCAAAAGGAGATATGTTCTACAGCAAAAAATGTCAACATATAATTTTCACTTGTATTGTATATATTTCGAATTTAATTTTCTAAGAAACTATTATAGCTAGATATAAGGTTTATTCGGGGACTTGTAGTAAAATTTGGTGTAGAATATTTTTTCTTTCCAGACCTTCTGCCTAAAACTAAATTTAATGTTACTTTCAGGTGTCAACTCGATAAAAGGCCTAAGAAAAATTTATAAAAAATATTATAAAATATTTTTACATTTTTTTGTTAAAATTGATGCAAATATTTTTTGGATATACAGGGGAAATAGAGATTTCTTTTCTTTGGCAACTTATAGTAAAATTTGATGAAAAATATGTTTTGTCTTTGATGTCATTATTCTTAAATGATGCTTTGTAGGAGATTTTTTCATCAACTCGAAAGGAGGGCGAGAAAAATGTAATAAAAAATTAGGGAATATTTTTCGCTCTTTTTTGTGAATTTTGATGCAGATATTTTTGGATATACAATGAGAATAGAGATATCCTTTCTTTAGCAACTTATTAGGATATTTAATGAAGAACATTTTTGCCTTTGATGTCATCCATCTAAAATGATGCTTTGTAGGAGAATTTTGCACAAACTCACACAAAGTACGGCTTTTATACTGAGATGTGTATTTAATATATATGTAATCCTGGCCATTGAGTAAGATTTATACTATTGACGTCTTCTAGGACCTATAGTAAAATTTTATGGCAAACTATTTTGTAGAATATTTTGTCTTGACCATATTTATAAAAAATAACCAAAAAGACTTATTTTTACTAGCATGAGGGTGTCTACCAAAACAATCCTCGTGTTTATCTACAATATTGCCGAAGACACTATATGCCCTAAAATGCACAGATTCCGAGGAATCTTAATCCAAAAGTGTGAAAGAGGTGGGAATTGCCCCTCAATTTAGGTTACTTGGAGATGTAAACTTTCAAAACGCCGATACACGTATCTTGTTTTCTAAGCTCTATTTTCATATTCAGCTGAATTTTCCCCATAGTTTTTGAAAAAAATGAATTTTGCCGCACAGTGTAATTATCAAACGTGGATAAATAACTATCGGATGGATCCACAGTGGATAAATAAGTCATGTATCTTCATTGGGTTATTTATCCGAATTGTATAACTCATCCGTATAACTAATCCGTTAGCTCTTTCTCATTACGATGCATAATGATCTTCCTTACTCACCACCAGATTTGAGTCCATCTTCACCATATTTATCGTAAACTTCCCGTTTACTTTTATCCGAGAGGACTTCATAGGCTTCGGCCACCTCTTTGAACTTCTCTTCTGCATTCGCCGCTTTATTTTTGTCCGGGTGATAGCGTAACGCTAATTTCCTGTAGGCTTTTTTGATTTCATCATCGGTGGCAGTTTTCGGTATGCCCAATATTTTGTAATAATCTTTGCCCATTTTGTGTGTGTATGTATGTCTGTGTTTATGTATGTGTGGGTGGTTGGCTGGTAATTTAGTAGGAATTTATATGATGGATTCCGAATCTATTAATGTTATGTGAGTAATAAGTTTTGTAAATATTTCAAATTCCGCAATTAATACTAATTTGTAACAAATTTAATAATTTGTTGTTGGCTGAAATGGAAAAGAGAGACGGGAAATTAAAGAAACTTCATTCGAATAGGCTTAGAGTAGTGGGGGTTGACTTAACTTACCACTTGAGATGTGATTTTGTAGTCAAATATTTTCTCTTGAATTTCTAACTTCAAACGTCTGCAATTTGCTGCTGCCTTATCAGAGTCTCCGAATGTTGGCATAAATTGTTCATCTTTTAACGGACATTGGACGGAATTGGAAAATATCACGTAGATTTTTGTGGTGAATAGCGCCAATGACGTAGATACAAACTGCAAGATAAATTTCACAAAAAAACACAAAAATAAATATTTTCAAAATTTAAATCTCTCAAAAGACAGAAAATAAAATACAAATAGATTGTCAAAAAGAAATGCAAATAAATTAAAATAACAAATTCAAAAAAAAAAAAAAAAATTTGAAATTCCAATAAGACTCAGAGAGAAATTAGGTGGGAATTTTTAAAAGTTGTCTTTCTCATTCTAAATATCTGCAGAGATGGGATGGCTAGATAGATATATAAGTATACAAATTACAGTGCATTTCTTTACAAAAAGTCAACACAGGTTCCCACAGGTGTTCCACTGTATAATATTTCCCCCCAAGCATGACCTACGGGAAAAAATCACAGCTGACTTACTCTCCAAATGGGCCATAGACAAAAGAAATGCAATTTTATGCTAAAACGCCGAATACACCATCGCCATCGAGGCAAATTTCAATTGTCATGGCATCACACAAAGGCCATGGTAGTAGCCCACGTCGGTGTGTGTTGTTGTTATTTGCCGTTTAAGAACGACCCACGCGAATTTTTTAAATATTGTTTTTATTTTTATTTTAATTTTATATTTTTTCATTCTCTCTTTGTTATGTTATCGTACAAATTGTTTGGAAATTAATTTTGTTTCTCTTTTTTTCAGTTTTTTTGCTGACGCAGTCTTTTCTATTGAATTTTTGGCAATTTGTTGGCTTCGTAACAACAATTGGAATTGTTAAATGATATTGAAATTTTTTTCTTGTGCAAATAATTTGTTAGAAATCATATCAGTTGACTGTCCATATTTGGACAGTGTTTAAAACCTTGGATAGAAACTCTATCCATTTTTCAGATGCAATCCGAAACATATTAGCACAAATTCGAGAATTACTATTCAAATTCGAATTATTTCCTTCGTAATTCGATGTTTTCTACATTAATTTAAATTACTCCATTTGAAAATTACATTAAATTTTCGTATTCGTTTTTTCGAATTACAAATAAAATGATTCGAAATTGAAACGGAATTCTCGAACTGTTACGAATTACCACTAAAATGCTTGAAATTTCATATCAACAAGTGAACCGCCCTCCAGGGATGAAAACATTGCAAAAGGTGCTAAAATGCGAAAGATCATGTAATAATTCAATGAAGTAGTACAAAAGAAGTAAAAGTATCAAAAAATATCAAAAATATGAATTTTTTGTTGGGGTTTTCTTATGAAGTGAAAATTGGCACAAAATTGGTTGCTGATTTACTTCGGTACCAGTTTTCTTTCATTGCCTTAACTTATGACCTAATTGACTAGCCTCCTAATCCCTATAATTATATTGAACATTTTTTAGGAGAAATCAGTCTTCCCACAAAGAGAACGAAATATAGAATTACATCTAATTTGATTGGAAATAGGCTCCAAAATTTTAAATTGAAGCCTATTTGGAATTTGGTCTAAAACCTTCAAAAATTAAATATTTTTGAGAGGAGAGAATTTGATCTACCCACAAAGGGATTCTAATATTAAAGTACATCTCGTTGGAAACAGCTGATCTGAAAGCTATTATCGAAATTTTATATTACAGCCGATTTGGTTGGTATTTACGGTCGAAACTTTAACAAGTAAAAAAAAACGGCAGGGCCAAACTTTTAATACCATCCAGGGTAAAGGAAACATTAGAGCCTATGTACCAATTTTTAGACATATTCATGGGAAAATGTGCCAAAAGTCATCAAAATACCGAATATGGGGAAATACGGCTATATGGGGCTATACAAAAACGTGGACCTATACATACAGTGTTTCGCCAAAAGACCAAAAAAATACCAATTTATAGACAAATCTGCGAAGAAATGTGGCAAAAAAAAACATCAAAATACCGAATATCGGGAGGTACCGTTTTCTGGGGGCTATACCAAATCGGAGACCTATAAATGCAATGTTTCGCCACCGGAGCTGGAACTTATTATGACCAACAAATACCAATTTTTAGACAAATCCGTGAAAAATTGTGGCAAAAATCATCAAAATACCGAATATCGGGAGGTACCGTTATATGGGGACCGATATATCTCATTTTCAATACCAACCATCCTAGACACAATACAAATTGCTCTGCTAAATTTTGGAGCTCTATGTCAAATAATGTGGGCTGTATCGTGCTTTACAGACATGGAGAAGGAACCGACCTTCACAGAATCACTTTCTGAGTCGCTTTGTGCATGCCAGTCCGTCTTTCCACGTATTTTTGAGAATAAAATGCAGGTCGCATTTATTATCTGATTGAGATGAAATTTTCCAAACAATATTTGTTTGGCCTAAATATTTGCTTTGAAGAACCCTATTAAAATTGGGGAGAATCGGTTCAAAGAAAAAGAAAAAGGAGAAAAACGGTTTGGATATACCTATAGCTCCGACTTCTGTAAAATTGATCGAGATCCGTTAAGATTTGGATATATATACGTTTATCCGATATCAGGTTTTTTGTGCAACAAATAGCTAATATCAGCTCAAAATTGTTGCACTTTCGACCGAATTCAACCTAGAAGGCAGTACATCAAATTTGGTGAAAATCGGTTCAGAAATAGCTATAACTCCCATATATATGTTTCATCCGATTTGGGGTCTTAAGTCCCTCACATTCATAAAATGCATATCACAACAATGATATTTGGTACCAGATAACTTATAGAACTCAAAAATACCTCCGTCAAATGTTGTCGAGATCGGATCATATTTGGATATAGCTGCCATATATATCAGGATTATTATGCATCAAATGGCTAATATCAGCCCAAATGAAATGAATCTTGGCAATTCTGAGTTTATTCATCCTAGAAACATGTACTTCAAATTTGGTTAAAATCGGTTCTGATATAGCTATAGCTCTCATAAATATGTTTCATCCGATTTGGTGCTAAAGTCCCTCACATGCGGAATATGCACACCACAACAATATTATTTGGTACCAGATATCAGATACAGCCCAGAAATATCTGTGTCAAATGTTATCAAGTTATTGTGTACCTGAATTTTGGCACATCCGACAGAACTCGGCTACGATATATATATATATATATATATATATATATATATATATATATATATATATATATATATATATATCAATACCACCTATCAATATTTTGATTTAGAGTAGTTATAATTTGGTTTCAGAGGGAACTAATACATATCCATTTCACTAAATTTGACGGAGACCCTTTTATCTTTTATACCAAATAACTTTGCTATATATATATATATATATATATATATATATATATATATATATATATACCACCAACCAAATTATAACTACTCTAAATCAAAATATTGATAGGTGGTATGATCTACTTCTAATTAATTCTTTTCTTACGGGAGCTCTACTAAATATGGATAGTGGTGCAGGGTATCATATAGTCGGTACCGCCCAATTTTTTACTTTTCATTACTGATTCCGTGTATAGAAATTTTTTTCAAGGCATTCCCTTTCTAGATCCAATATGTTAAAAGTTATCTATTCAGAGAAAGCATATGGAAGATTCTCTGCAAGTAGAAGTGCTCTTGATAGTTATATTTTTTTCAAGTCTTATATCTATAACCAAATCTATGTGATTTCGTTAGAAATTGTATCAGAAACCTTCAACATACCCGAAATCTCGCGGTATCGTTATATGAGAGCTATTTCTAAATCACTATATCCCATTTTCAATACCAATCATCCTGCATTTAATATAGAGCTTTTTGCCAAATTTCAAAACTCTAGATTAAATAATGCGAACTTTGTCTTGGTTTCAACAGACAGATATACAGACATCGCTAAATCGCCTTATAATTTTATTCTGATCAGGAACATATTCAGGGTGAGATGAAAAAACTGCAACCAACATCAGATTGATGTCATTTCTAAGCCACTCGTCCGACAGCTGTTAAAATTATTATATATTATATTGTTTACAAGCGTACAAAAGCATTTTCGTCAGAATTTTCCAGAAAAAAAAGTTATTCGTGATAGAATTCAAGCGTGATAGTGTGATTCCTTTATATTTCGCTGGAAAACCACAGGTGGCTATCGTTAGGGAACTCTAGCATTGAAATATGAATAAATCTTTTGTATCTCGTACCATCGCTCGTTACCGTGATACTGGTAGCCCGATGTCAACAAAGTGGAAGGAAGAAAACAGCAACATCAGCAGAAATGGTTCGAAAAGTAAAGAAGCGACTTGATTGAAACGCGGGCAAATATTAGACGTTTGGTGCACAATCAAAGGTAAATCGGACGAAGTTATATATGGGAGCAATATCCAAATCCGAACCGATCTCGATAAAATTTAGCAAATGTATTTCTGAGCTGTATTTGATATATTTTACCAAATATTGTTGTTACGGCTGCGGAGGACAAAACTAACAAATCGATTGAACAATATATATGGGAGCTATAGCTATATCTGAACCGATTTCGATCAAATTTGGCTTACTTATTTTCAGGTCCAATAAGATCGTACGTGCAAAATTCCATATTATTCGGACAGATATTACACGTTTGGTGCACAATAAAAGGCAAATCGGACGAAGATATATATGAGAGCTATATCTGAATTTTGATCAATCATCTCCGATTTCCATAGGGTTCGTCCTTGGGCCAAACAAATGATTTGTGCATAATTTCATCTGGATAGGGCAATAAATGCGAACTGTACTTTGTTTACAAAAATATATGGACAGACGGACGGACGGACATGCAAAAATCGAATGTGATTCTGTGCAGATCATCAAAAGGAACTATAGGTCTATCTAGTTTCCTTTTGCCTGTTACAAACAAATGCACAAAGACATAATACCCTGACTACCTTGTGGTGTAGGGTCCAAAAATAAACTCAAAATAGCTAAAGAGTTGCTTCGCTTGGCCTAAGTGGTAAACTGCCGAATTTGGTTTTCTCCGATGAGAATTCATTCTTTGTCCAGCAGTTTGTAAACAAAGAAAATGATCGTGTTTATTTGCCAAAGAGGTCAGCTGAAA